CACACGGCTGAATTACGACCTTTTGAGCATATCTATAACTCACCATATATAACTATAACTAACTAGAGTGTAATCCAGCTAAGATTAAGCACATTCCATTCTCTTTCGTTTTAATGGCAGATGCCTAATGTTCACCTGGCGAAACCTTGGTGCTTAACTTTATCAGTTAAACCCCATATTATACAAGATGTGATAAAGTAGACAACAATTAGCCAATAATGAAAGAAGTGTCACCGTTAAGATTATTCAGATCAGGCTGCCTGATCTAACAACTTGCTGCAGGTGCAAAATACAGGTATGGAGCTCCTCTGAGGTCACAAGAGCTGCTTCCTCCATAAAAATGGATGGGACTGTCCTCTTCAGCAAAACATCCATATTATGCACACTTGAGGGGTTGCTCTGAAAGCCTTAGAGCATATGGAACCTGCTGGACATGTTCAAAAGACTTTACTGAAGCCGAAAAGTGTGAAAATAGCAGCACTTGGAAATCTATGATGACTGGTGGGAGGGAAGGGGTAGAAATGTTGTTCTGCCGGGGTGCACACAATCATGTTTTTCATGTGATGACTTGCATGTCTGAAGCCCCCCACCCCTCCCGATATATTCATTGGAGTCAGTTCACATGTTCAGTTGCCGCTTGTCAAGTGGGAAGTTTATTATTATTACATTACAAATGATCTAGATGTGTTTGGTCTGCCACTGCATCTGACAATTAGTACCAGAGAGGGAAATCTATGCACAAATATACTGTGTATTGAATCTACCCCATGTGAAGGAACCCTTATTGCTTCTCAGCTTTTAGAACTTGAGAGTTTAGAGGGATTTTTAAAATAAATAAATAAATAAATAAACAAATTCTGTCCTTGAAATAATTATAAGAAGTTAGCCCTCCCTTTAAAAAATAAAACAAAGAATTAGCTGAATATACTAAGACAGTGTTTCCCAACCGGTGTTCTGCGGCACACTACTGTGCCGCGAGACGTTGCCTGGTGTGCCGTGGGAGGGAGGCGGGCGAGTCGCACGGCGCCTCGGCGTCGGGCGGCAGCGAGCGCAGGAAGCCGCCCAGCCGGCCGGGGTCGCCCGCCTGCAGCAGCGCCTCGCACCCGCACGAGACCTGCTCCGCCGAGAAGCGGGCGAGCGCGGAGGATCGGGCGCGGCGGAGGCCAGCCCCGCGCTTGGAGAGGACGCAGCAGCCGTCGCCAAACCCGATCCTCCTCCTCCTGCTCCGCCGCCGTCCTCTGGCTCTCGGCCGGGAGGAGCGACGGGGCGGGCGCCGAAGTTGGCAGAAGTTGGCGCGCCTCCTCGGCAGCGCCTTCGTCCTCCTCCTCCTGCCTCTGCTCTCCTCCGGCGGCGGGGGCGCGCCGCCCTCCCCAGCCGGGGGGCTCGGCGGGGCCCGCGGGGAAGGAGGCCATGTTCGCGGCGCGCGGGATCGCGGCCCCCCTCGCCCGCCTCCGGCCCGCTCCCCTCCCCCTGCGTGCTGCCCTAGCCGTGCGGGTCTCCTCCCCCTGCGCCGCCGTCCCCTTTCCACATCCTAGGAGCCGCGGTCCGCCTACCGCCCCCGGGCCGCGGCGCGGCTCCCAGCCCGGGCTGGCCTCCGCCTCCTGGGACGCGCGCCCACCCCCGCGGCCCCCCAAACTTCGGAGCAACTCTCCAGACGCTTCTCCCCCGCCTCGGTCTCCCTCCTTTCCACTTCTCTTCCCCCCTTCCTTCCCTCTTTCTCTTTCTCTCCCACCCGCCTTTCCTTCTATTAACTTTCCTTTCCCCTCCCTTCGTCCTTCCTACTTTTACTCCTGGGCTCCTCCCCCCTTTGCCCAGCCACAAATCAATCTCTCTCTCTTTTTTCCCCTCTCTCCTTTGCTCAGACGCAAAAAAGCGCCGCCTTTTGGAAATCCGGACTGCTGTCCCCGCTGAAACGATACTTTAAAAAAGGAAGAACCCACTGGCTCTTATTTCTGTTTAAAGCAGTAGATCCCGAACTCTTTTGGCCCACTGCCCCCTTGGTTCCACATCCCCCAGTGTCCCCTATGCTTACTCTATAGAAAGCATTACAGGGGTTAACGCGGCTCGCTAAGGAAGATATTAATAGAATTCTGCATTTGGGGGGAGACCCTAACAGTCATCTACCATTACCTTCTATGCTGTTACTATTTTTTTATTTTTTTTTACATAAGTAAAAAGTGACCTTTCCCCATCTGGCATGGTGGTGTGCCTCGAGATTTTTTTCATGACACAAGTGTGCCTTTGCCCAAAAAAGGTTGGGAAACACTGTACTAAGAGCAGTACCATAAAATTTTGAAAGGACAGGGATCAACTTATTGTTTGATAAAGCTAAAGCAAGAATAGTAATCAATCCCCTGGCAGTGAAAATTTTAAATTTAAAATAAGCTTCAACAAAGCCTTTGAACCTTCAAACACTTTATCCTTAAGAAATTAATGGGTCCCTGAAGAAGTCTTATTTCCCCTTTCTGTTTCTGTTATATGTACTTCAATTACATTAGCCAACAATGTAGCAAAATAACCAGTATAGCCCAGTTTTACAGAATGAATGAATAAATGGTGTGTTACACTTTTCTCCTCTGTTGTCTAGTAGCGTATGCGCAGAAATGCTGAACAACTGAGAAGAAACTCACTGCCTGGTGTTTTACTTTTACTTTTCTTTTAAGTTTTTTGCTGATTCCACTCCCCTCCCAGTTCTGATATGCCCATCACAATAGCCATCTCTCGGTCTCTCCTCCTGGCTTGTCTCCGTCTAGGTCCATTTCTCTTGATTGCAGCAATACTCTCGGATAAAAGCATCACTTTGCTAAAGGTTTCATTCAGTTGAACTTGGAATGGCCCTGAAGAGTCCTTCAGATGTTTCTTTCTTTTCAAGGCAATTGGGAACGTTTTCTTTTCCCTCTTAGGAGCAATTACTATTGCAGTCCCCAAGCAACTATGCCATCCTCTGCCTTTGGGCAAGAATGAATATAGCCTCTCTCTCTCTCTCTCTCTCTGTGTGTGTGTGTGTGTGTGTGTGTGTGTGTGTGTGTGTGTGTTTTCAAGTTCCAACACATCAAAACCTCCTAGAAATGACCTTCCATGTATCAGGTATAGGTTGTGGCTGCCTTTATTGTGCATTTCTTCTTTAAAAAAATCCCATCATAGTTATATAGTTTCAGTCTTGCTTGGCTTTTCCTAAACATGAAAAGAAACTTTGTGTGAACTGTTGACACTGTTTTCCCCGCCTAAGTTGCTTTAGTCTCCTTATCAACCACAGGCCTAAAAATAAAGGCTTTAGGGTTCTTTGCTGGACTCTTTGTCTTATACTGTATCTTTCTATCAAGCAGGAGCAAAAGGTCTCACTGTTGGAGGGGGGAGGGGTATATGACCAGTAGGGTAATTATGGATAGGCAGAGAGATTGTAACCTTTTAAGCAATATTTATTAATATTGCTAAAAATCCTGCGGTGGTGGTGGTGGTGTGTGTAAGGGAGATTCACTGGAATACCACATCATAAGCCTGGCCTACTTGAGATGCGTAGTGTGACTTTTCCTTCCCCTCTTTTCCTTTCCCCCTTATTTCCCCTCTCATTTCAGTGAATAGGAACCAGTTAGCCATACCAGCTCCAGGGCTTGCTTGGCTGGGTGTAGTTTTGTGTCAAAACAATTTTCCCCACCCCCACCCCAGCCATTATCCATAAATTTTCTGTTTTCATAATTAATTGCAACTGATTTCATCCAGTATATGCATTTTTGTGATTCCTATATTTGCCACTTCCAGGCTTCAGTGATTAAATGGCATATAAATTGCTGAAATTAAATGAATGAACCTCACGAAGAAACAAAACAGCATGCAAAATTAATCAGTGAAAAATTCAGTGAAATTTTCAGGGGTGGAATTTTTGTTGTGCTCACCTTTTGAAGAAGCTGAGGGTTTTTGTTTGAATGTCTGTTATTTCATTATACAAATCACCTCAGCAGCAGTGGTCTGCACTCTTTAGGCTTCCTGGGTTGCCTATGCTACAGGTAAAGCTCAAGGGGAAACTTAGGCCACATTCACACCATACATTTAAAGTACTGTGATACTACTTTAAACAGTTATGGTTTCCCCCAAGGAATTATGGGAGCTGTAGATTTTTAAGGGCACTGAGAGTTGTCAGGACTCAAGGCCTCTGTTCCCTCGCAGAGCTCCAATTCTCAAGAGTTCCCTGAGAAGAAAGGATTGATTGTTAAACCACTCTGCCAACAGCAGCTCTGGGAGAGGAATTGGAGTCTCCTAACACCTCTCAGCACCCTTAACAAACAACAGCTGCCAGAATTCTTTGCGGGTAACCTTGAGTGTTTAAAGTGGTAGGACTTTAAATTTATGGTGGCCAGCATGAGGTAACCTCTCAGAAGAGGAAGCACAGGCAGCCTGGGAGACTGTAGAGCTCTGCAGACATGTTTTACTGGAAAGGAAAAAAAACACATGTGCCAACCCTTATCTACCTCATAAAAATAAGGTAAGCTCAAAGCCTCATACCCACCGATATTCTAAATTCAAGTTTTTTCGTGGACATGCCATGGTACTTCTGGCAGGGAAAGTGCCATCTCTTTCCAGCAGGCCTCCCTCTCTGGTGGTGGGGCAGCACTTATACCACATCCAAGAGCCCCTCAGCCAGGCCTCGGGATGCTATCTCTGTAGTAACATCTCTATATACAATATAATGAGCTTTTATTATTATTTAGTGGATGTGGTATAAGTGCCTCTTTATATGGTATAAAGAGGACGGGAGTCCTGAGGTCTAAATCATTGTGTACAGTGGGGGAATTTTCACTCCGCTAAGGAGCTCAGTGGGTGACCTTAGGCCACCCTCTGTCTCTCGGCTACCTCGCAGGATTGTTGTAAGGCCATGAAGAAGTGGGAGAAGCATACATTAGCTAAGTCTCAGAATGGTATCTCTATGTACAATGCTAGGTAATGATTTTGGCATATGAGCTTTTATTATTTAGTGATTACATTTTTACCTCACATTTCCTCAGGGGTCCTATCCTCTTTTGCACCTGACCATCCTATCAGCAACTGGAATGGGTGGGGAATGGGATCGGCATCAAACCTTTTGAGGTAAACTCGCACAACTTTCTGTTCAGCCTTACAAAAACAGCACACAGAAAAGAGCCTTCATCAATTTGTTGGGGTGACACTTGGGGACATGATCCTAGGTATGGGAATTGGGATATTATCATGCCCTGTTTTTCTTCGTAAAATGCTGGATGGTACGGCTAATCTCCATGCCATTAAAAGTGCCACCTGCTTAATTTGTATGTGCCTGACTGCTAAAGGCATAAGAGCAGAATCAATAAAATGGTGGTAGCTTTAGGCATGCATGTTTTAGTCTTACAGCAGGGGTGGGGCACCGTTTTCAGGTTGAGGGTCTAGGTCAACCTTCCAGGAACCACATGCCAGCAGTGTATTGAGACAGTGCAAAAAGTGGAAGGAGCACCCCACACTCACACCCATTCATACACATGCACACCTAACACCCACACAATACATTTTCACACATTACTATTATTTTACCATTATTAGACTTGTTAATCTCTTGTTAACCCAAAGGTTTCCAAGCAACCTGTAATACATCACACACACATATTCATTCATTTGTTCACATCCACACAAAAACTTTTTTGTTGATCATATATAAACATACTCTTATCTTCCTCCATTACTTTAAAGTAGTTCCTCATCTGTCTTTTTAAATGTTCTTTGGATATTGCCTGATAAGAAATTACATAAGCAGGGCAGCTTGCAGCTTGTTGCTCAAAATAATTTTTAAAAATCAGATATGAGCTGAACATAATTACATGGATTAGAAATAATTAATAGAGATTTGTGCTGGGATTTCGAATGTGCTCTATCCAGAGAGTTTATGAAATTACAGTCCACTCCATTTATTCTGTACACCCTTCTGAACAGATATTTGCTTAAAATGGGTTATAAAGCCAACCCATTTCCCCCTCCTGTTTCTGAATCCATATAGATGCACCAATCAGATAACAAAGAGTAGAGGAATGGCTGTGCTCCTGCACTCCTAAGATCAGAGTGGACCTGATACATTTCGGCACCTGAGGCGATCCACAAAACGGTGTGTGCGTCTCCCTGTCAGGGAAGAATGGGTGAGTAAAGATTGGGAACAAGGGGGTGATAGCGTTAGTGAAAGCATGTTATGCCTAGCAGCCATATCCAAGCTGAATACTGGCTGGAACCGGCAGGGCAGAGGATGGAGGAACATTCTTGCATTTCTTCATCTTAGCAGTTTCCCCCCATTAGAAACAATGGCAAGTGCATTCACCGGAGACATTGACTCCAATGGCAAAACACTCTCCCTGGTTTGGAGTGTGTGTCAGACAGCTGAGAAGGCATTGGATCCAAGCCTATTTCCTCGTCTTCCCTCAACACAACCCTAGGCTTTCCCCAACTTTTTGTTTTTGGAACTACAGGAGCTCAAATGCAGGTAGGGACAAGGCTTTGTTTCTGCTGCACCAGAGTCCTTTCCCACACCCTGGAAAGGGAGGCTCAGTATATCTGATGTGTTGCCAATGGTCCTAGGACAGCAGTGAAAGAAACTTGCTTTCTCCTCATAGTGACATATATGACTTTTTTTTTTTTTACCATTCCTATAGTGTCTAGGTGCAATGTGTCCTCTACAGACTTCAACAACTTACTTAGTTTTAACAAGTGCTAACACAAAAGAAGTTACCTTTTAAACAAATGTTGGGCCACTATTAGTAAGTAAAATGTCTATTATTTGAAAATTAGACCAGCGTTCTCGCTACAGTAACTCTGAGAGGGCCCGGTCCCTTAGTTATTAAGCAGCAAAATAAATATGTAAATAAATCAATAAAATATATATTGAATACGATAAACCCTTTCAGAGAATTTGCAATTTGGCTTCTGACAGAATGGTGTTACTTAATTCAGTGTGCTAAGAAACAAAGAATGTCAAGAATTCTCATATCTGTAACTTTAAAAACTTATTTGTTTCAAGATAACATCTTTACTTATTCAATATAACACATGATCAGAGTAACTTTATACATACATACATACATACATACATACATATGCACAGGTGCTTTGCTTAGGCTCACTTTTGCACATACACATACTCATTTCATGTGCTGAAAAGTTGCTTTGGAAAAGTGGGAGACACATTTAATCTCTTGTAAGTACAAATGGGTAGTTGTGCATTAAATTATTATATAATGCTGCACATCTTCTCTTCTGTATTAAGAGATGCCTGGGTTTCCAGCATGCCTGGAGGGCTTGCCACCAAATTCAGATGCTCAAATACTTGGCTCAAATAACACTGTAAACTCCCTTGCTTTGCTGTTCTACTGATGCAAAGTGATGACGTTGATAGGGTGCCTGGGCCAATCCAATGACCTTAGGATGAATTGAGTCCCTCTTTGGCTTGTAATGGGCACCATACAGGGACAGAGTATCCTTTGTCAAATCTAGTGGTGCATAGACTCAAAGCACTTCTCACATAAACCTAGCTGGAAAATAATCATTTTTTGCCTTCCTACTGGTACATAAACCTACCCAGAGGGTAGGTTTTGCCCTGATAACGGGAACTGGCATAGAATAGTTTGATTCCATTCCAAATATTACGTAATTATGTAAACTAGGAATAGCAGGGTCTAGAAACATATGTTAGTAAGTGATAGGTTGCTTATCATCTTTGGCAAGAAATACATATATCATAATATTGGGTTTTTGACTTGCATATTTCAGGCTGAGTCCATAAGTGGGTTCTGGAGTTAAGTCTTGGCTAAGATTAAACTCCCAGTGACAGCTTGCTTATATTTGAAATCCTAATATTGATACCGCTCCGTCTTTTGTTTCTTGGATCTGTATTTGACTTTGATTTAATATTTTTAAGAATTATTTTCCAAGTAAAAATGAAAAGTGAGAAGGAGGCAATTCTTTAAGAGGTTTATATATATATACCAGAGGGTCAGAAACAACCGTTCAGACTCCTTACCGGAACAATTTCCTCATTTGAGATATAAAATAAGGCAGGGAAATGGCCCATACAATACATTCAAGTGTTAGAAACAAGGATTTCAATGTTTATGGCTCAAAGCCTTTTATTCTTCCTCAAAGTATGTGCTCATCTCTAATGTAAATGCACTGCATTGTCCTCTCATTGTCCTGGATTTATGAATAAATCATTAGTCTTATTTAATTAATGAGGTCTGGCTAATAATATTCCCAAACTGTCTGTGCTTTCATATCCTTCAATTCCAAAATGTGTTCTTGACTGGTGTGCACGTGCACATGAACAGGGGGGGTGGGTAAGAGAAGAAAAGAGACTCTTCATAATTCAGCAGTGCTTAGAAATTTCATCAGCAGAATGTGTGCAAAGTGTCTTAGCTCAGAGCTATGCAAACCAGAGAGAAAATCGAATTTGAGTTATGCTTTTTTTTTAACTTGGAAAAAACCGCCAGTGTAAGGTTGCCAGATGTCCCTGTATTTTAAGACATGTCTCTTATCAAGGGGACAATGTAGGTCTGCAAAATAGAAAAGGCATTTCTGAACCACGTCCATAACAGATAGACTGTCGCACTGTCATGTTAGCATGGGATGAAACAGGACACAGTCATCAAAATGGAACAGCTAATGGAAAAAGGAAGAGTAAAAGGTTGTGAAGCTGAGTCCATTCTGGCTGCAGAGAATACCATAATCATAGGTTGTTGGCACTGGATTGCTGGTAACTGGATTTTAGCAAAGATGGAACTCCAGCAATCTCTGCAACAGTTGACTTCAATTGGGCTTTGAGGGTGGGAGAAAAGTGAAAGTGGTAGTAGCAGATATAGACCAATGTAGGATGTAGCAAGGACAGAACATCTACCTTACATGCAGAAGGTCACAGGTTCAATCCCCAGCATCTCCACGTAGGGCTGGGAGAAACCCTCTGACTGAAATCCTGGACAGCCACTGCCCTTTACTATAGACATCACTGAGCTAGATGGACCAGTAGTCTGACTCCTTATAAGACACCTTTCTATGTTCTTAAGGAAGGAGATAGTTGAGTTATTCAACACAATCAAACTACATCAGCACAAGTGATTACCTGAAAATGTGATCAGGATGATGTAGGGGGATGCTCCCGTCCTGCTTGCAGCATACAAGGTTCTCACACTGGATGTACACTAGCCAGTGCTTGAATGGGATGCCATCTTGCTTCTGTTCAGTAGCCCCTTTCCTAGCCTTGCTCAGGGCAGAACTCTTTGTGGAACTGGGAGAGACAGAAGCAGGCAAACAATATTTGCTGCTATCCTACAGTCTTCTGTTTGAAGGGCTGTCCAGTCCTGAAGTCTGGCTTAAAGGTAAAGATCCATAAGGAGCAGCAGGGTTTGGGGAGTTTTCTGTCAACAGTTAACAGAAAAAGATCCCTGCTGGATCAGCTCAAAGGCCTACCATGGCCAACCAGATGCCTATGGGAAGCCTGCAAGTAGGAGCTAAGTGCAGCAGGACTCTCCTCACCTGTGATTCCCAGAAACTGGTATTCAAAGGCATACTGCTTCTGAGAATGGAGGCAGAACACAGCCACCATGACTAGTAACCACTGATAGCTTTATCATCCACTGACCACAAATAGCAGACTGAGCAGATGTACAAATCACCTGTCCACAGTCTTTCCCACTAGGGTGTTGTGGCTTTCTATTTAAATTATTGCTTTCCCCAGAGAGGCTCGCCTGGTGCCATCATTACATGAGTTTAGGCACCAGGCAAAAACATTCCTCTTTACCCAGGCCTTTGGCCATTAAATAATCTATGGCGTGTTGGGGGGGTACTGTTATTATGATTATTTCATTATGCTGCCTGTTATTATGCTTTTCATTACCTTATGTTTTTATTACTGATGTTCTGTAAAATGTGTTGTACACTGCCCTGGGATCTTTTGATAAAGGGTGGTTTATATAAATCGAACAAATAATAATTATTATTTGTAAATTTGTATCTATATGTATCAGCTAACATCCACATTTATTCCAAAACTGTGTCTACTTTTTTTTGCAAAATATGCGTGGCTACATCAACTGCAGCAGTATGAGTGTAAGAATGCTGCTATTCTGAGCACATTTTAGATGAGTATCACTTTGACATCTTTCTTCAATGCAAAAAACATACTGGCCAGTTGCATTCCTAAGTAGTCTTCTTCCCTTTTGATTATATTATAAAAGGATTAGTTTTCTGTAGCAGCAATGGGTGGGGGTGGAGGGAGAGCATTCAAGTGCCAATGAATTCTTGTGCTTGTTTCAAATGCTTCAAATGTTGTTGTTTTAATATTTAAAGCTGTAGGGCTGTGCTCTGCAGCCAGGGGAAACAAAAACTTCACTTTTTAAATATTTCATGGCTTGCTGGACTCCAGCAGCAGCAGCAATAGCAATGATTTCTTTAAAACATTAACACTTTAGATGCACATCACGGCAGGACAAAATTGTGTTAAGTTAGTGAATGTGCTGGAAATGATGTACATTGCAGGAATTTATTAAACACAAAATGGGTTATGTAGAGTTCATTCATAGCTGGAGAGCAAGCACTTTATTCTTTCCTACTCACAAGGCCAGATTAAAGGATCCGGAGGCACTATGCTGAATTGCATGGTGGGAATCTCAAGGGTTTTACCCCACTAAACTATTATTTCTCCAGTAGCAGATACTTTTTTTGCCTTTCTGACTCACACCTGCTCTCCTTATTTCGTCCTGTCCTTTCCAGTTATATTTCACATATCCTACTTTTCTAAAGATTTGCTACATCAGGGCAGTTCTATAAAATGTGTTTCCTTGCATCTGAATTATTATTATTATTTGATTGAACCCATTTCAAGTGTTTCTCAGTGGTTCATAGCAATTTGCACCAAGGATCAGCTTTGGTTCAGCTCTTCATCATCCTAGTCCTCATAATCTCCAATAATTAGGTTATCTGTAACTAGTAGCTATTTCAGACTGGCATTTTGAAAATATAAGATCATGACACCTAACATACAATATAAAAGTTTTGCCACTCAGTTTCTTAGTTGCCATTCAGCTCAACAGCACCTGTGCAGGAGAGCATCCAGATGGGTTGTGTCCAGCATTTTAAAAACTAGTGTCAGACACACATA